TTCCGCCGCTAAAAGTTCCCATCCACGTGTAGAATAGAACACGCCCGCAAATCACAAGCCACTCTTACAAAAATACTCCAAGCCACTCTTACAAAAAAATACAAGCACTTCCTTTGACTTTACGGCCTACGAGTGCGTGTCTTAGCGGTCTTAAGTCCGATAACTAGGCTGATTACGATGTCACGGGCCAGTTCTCCCACGTCTCTTTCTCTCTCTCTCTCTCTCTCTCTCTCTCTCTCTCTCTCTCTCTCTNTCCCTCCTCCTCCTCCTCTTCCTCCGGCTCCTCCTCCCGCTCCGTCCACCACTCCCCGTCAGTATTTTGTTCGGCAGCAGATCGTAGGAAGACGATAAGCATCGTCTGTCATTGTCCGATCTCCCGTTTAGTTAATCTCTAGCTTTTCCCTCAATAGCAAGTCGCTAAATAAATAGCCTCGACTCGCACTAGATATCATAGACTGCCCCCGAGCGTTGTTCCCACGTCGCCGTTAACGTGTTAGAGAACGAATCGGGTCCAGTCTACGGAGTTTTTTTTCGCGCGCGTTGAAAGTTTGGAGATGGGACGTGTTGGTTTAGGAATTTTGTCCGTCTTTTGTGTACGCGAGTGGAAATGAATTGCTGAGATTTTTCGCCGTCGTCCCATCTTTTTGTTAGGCTGCCGCGGTGTATTATGTGTATTTTATTATGTATGGCAAGCGTTTTGTGTTAGACGAACAAGGCGGGTAAGCGAGCGTGTAAAAGGGGAAGAGTGGCTAACTCTGCTGGGGGTGGTGAACATACCGCGACGCTCTCTGGTGACGCATGAGTGTGGGAGCAAGCCGGAGAAAGATACGCGTGAGTGAGTGAGTGAGTGAGTGAGGGAGTGAGGCAGAAAGAGAGAGGGGCAGACAGTGAGAGAGAGAGAGAGAGAGAGAGAGAGAGAGAGAGAGAGAGAGAGAGAGCGAGAATGGTTGAGAGAGAGGGAGAGAGAGAGATAGATAGAGATAGATAGAGAGCGAGAGAGAGAGAGAGAGAGAGAGAGAGAGAGAGAGAGAGAGAGAGAGAGAGAGAGAGAGAGAGAGAGAGGTGGGACAGACGGAGCGCAGCTGGCCGCGTAGCGCGAAGAGAGAGAGAGAGAGAGAGAGGAGCAGAGACGAGAGAGAAGAGCGAGAGACGCAGAGAGAGAGGGAGAGGAAGAGAGGAGAGGGAGGAAAGAGCGTGAGGGAGAACTGGCCGCTGACATCGGGAATCAGGCCTAGTTCATCGGACTTAAAGACCGCTAGGACACGCACTCGATAGCGCCGTAAAGTCAAAGGAAGATGCTGTGTATTTTTTTTTCCAAGAGTGGCTTGGAGTATTTTTGTAGAGTAGCCTTGTGATTTGCAGCGGCGTGCTTCTTTCTACGCTGTGTGATGGGAACTCTTTTAGCGGGCGGAATGTGTGTCCGGATGAGAAAATGTCTGCAAATGAACGAGAAGCTGGAAATGCCGGTCGGGAGGAGACAGTGCCGACCAGCATGGTGGAACACTCAGAGCACAGATAGTAATGACTGTTCTACGTGTCTTACACGCCGGAGCTGCGAAGCTGCCGAACACGACTCCACCGACTATTATAGGAGGTATATAGAGGATATGCAGCAGCAGCAGCGAGCAGCAGCAGCAGTAGTCCAGCAGTCGGTCAGCGTATTAGTGAGTAGTCAGCCGCAGCAGTAACAGCACGCCCCGAGTGCAGTAACCCAGCCGTCTACAGTCAGTAGTCAGGCAGCCAGCCAGTAGCAGCAGCACGAGCACCCGCGACAGCAGCGAGCCAGCCAGCGATTCGGAGTAGCTGTAGCCAGGCAGTGGGTGGACGTAGCTAGCTACCGTCAGCGCAGCAGCAGTACAAGCGTAGCAGTAACCCCAGTATGAGAGCCCAGCAAGCAGCAGTAGCAGCTCAGCCAGCAGCAGCAGCAGAACGCAGCCGCAGCCCGGAGTAGGGGCCAGCAGCAGCCAGTAGCCAGAAAAAGACAGCGCAGCCCAGACACGACAGTAGCAGCCAGTAGCAGCAGCAGTCGAGCAGCGGGACAAGCAGGCAGCAGGCAGAGAGCAGTAGCCAGCCAGTAGCGGACGCGATGCGGGCAGGTAGGCAGGGACAAAGCCACAGCAGCCAGACAAGAACGTAGGCGGAGTAACAGCCAGTAGTAGTAGTGTTTAGTAGTAGTAGCAGCCCAGCACAGAAAGCCAGCGGGCAGTCCAGTACGCCCAGTAATCAGCGCCCTGCTCAGCCACCATATAAATTGTTCATCCATCATAATATGGTACGCTCGGTAAGCGGATTCCTTTCAAGAACAAACATCAGATTGCATAACACAATCGGCTGCAGGGTCGGGCCGCGCTCGGGAGGGGCCCTCGAGGGCCGTCAGGATAATCATATATATTTACAGCGCACTAGAAGCATATTATAATATATATAGTATTATATATAATGTGGTAGCATGGTCCACGCACACATATGTGACGGCTGCGTAGGGGGGTATGAATTATAATTTTAATATCCAAGCAGTAACATACTCGAGCGAGATGTATGGGCTGTTTATCCTTATGGGTGCTGCGGTGGGCTGAGTTACCCTGTACGTCCTTTATGGTATGCTGCGGTTGCTAATCACTCTCTACTCTCTCTCTCTCTACTCTCTCCCTCTCTCTCTCTCCTCCTAGGAGGGAAGTTATGTAGCGGGTGATGTGAGTCGGCCAGCCTGTCGCAAGGCAAACACACACACGCGATCGCAACAGCACCAGCACACACACACACACAACACAACACACACACACACCACACAACACACACACACGAGCAGCGCACGCACAGGTGATCCGGCGCGAATATCAAACAAATCGGTATTATGTGCCGGACAGGAGGATGAGGATGAGAGATGAGCATACAGAGTGATGTATCAGCATACAGGTGAGGATGAGCATACAGCCGTGCGGGGACCGGCCGCAGGGTGTTAAATGTTGTCGATCTGCCTCTGTTACACGCATATATCTTGTATTAGTGCGTGGTGCTCCCCTGCATTTTTCTCGCTCTCTCTTTTTACTCTCTCTCTTTTCTCCTCTCATTCC